GTCATATCTGAGCCACCAGCCAATCACAAAAGCCCAGGAAACACAGGTGACTGTGCCTGTGATTGATCATACAGATCTACATTTTAAATACACGTCACGACGAAGATGAAACCGTCCACTTCAGTTTGCCTGTGCTCAGACTCAGCACGTCTCACGGAGCCGTGACTTCAGTGGCGTTCACAGACTTCTCTTCATCGTCTCGTTCGTACGTATCTCTCTCTTCTTTCATCTGATTTGTCAACTCCTGGACTGAGGACTGAGAACACTTTGCTGGACTTGAAAGAGTATCTGTAGCATTTAGCCATGAGTCAGAAACAAAGTGTGAATTTTTTTTTTCACTTCTATTTTCTTTCTCTTTGTATCATCATACATTAAAATCCATTATTACAAACCCACCTCCCACCCTGCCTCCCCCCTTGCTTCCCACCACATCTTCTTACAAGCGTTACTGAACAAACATGGGACGACCAACTACGGTCAACTTGATTTAGAAGCATGACGGATTCCCATTCTCTTAGATGGCTTCATCTATTTTGATCCCTGGACTCCCCCACCTCCCCAAATCCTCCCCCCAACCTTCCTAGTGCTTCCCGTGTGTTCTCATGGAGGGTAATGGCAGCAGGAGGGGACGAAAAAAAGAACCTGACTTGATTCATTTTCTGTCTTCTTCTAAAGGGCAATCATCTCTGTTCCTGTGATGTGTGAGAGTTACAATCAGCAACTATGATTGGATATCGGTCGAGATAAACATTATAAAAGGGCAGATTTAGACATGTGTAGGTAACTACAGACACATGATACAGGAGTCGAAGGAGTGTTGCCAGGAAATGAAGCGAGAACGAAGAGGATCAGCATGGAGAAGGGTGATGGTGAGGTGAGGGAGTATGACAGAAGACAACAAAGGGAAGGAGGATAGTGAAAGTTTTATCTGACTCTCACAGCCTCCAGGATACGACAGCCTTGGCAAACTGAACCGTTTTACCACGGCGCCCCATACCAGGGACTTCCTGCCACACACACACACCCTCCTGCAGAGAACATGCACACACTGCATCACAGCCACATCTTGCCCCCCCCCCCCCCCGCCTCCA